CAATACCAGGCTGTTTTCAGTACTGTAGCTCTGTAGTAGAATTTGAAGTCAGGGATTGTGATGCCTCCAGAAGTTCTTTTATTGTACAGGATTGTTTTGGCTATCCTGGTTTTTTGCTTTTCCATATGAAGTTGAGTGCCATTCTTTCCATGTCTGTGAAGAATGTTGCTGGGATTTTGCTGGGCATTGCATTGAATCTGTAGATTGCTTGCACTGGTGAACTTTTGAAGACCTTGGTAAGGAGGGGAAAAAAGTGCATAGCCTTAATTTGAACTGATTAGCTTTTGCCTATGCTCTTGTACTTTTGTGTTTAACAAAGCTGGAGTTCTCTTGGCCTTTGTCCTTCTTAACGTACTACCTAATGCCTGAGCTCAGAGGCAGCTTGCTTTCTAGCACAGAGTTGCTTCTTCCAAAAACTAAGTCTCATTCTTGGTGAACTCTTTTAGCTTCCTTCAAAATGGCTCCTTTCTCCTTGTTTGCTATACAAACGTCCTGCTTCATTTGTTCTTCCTCTTGACACAACATAGAAGTCACATTCCTTGACTCTATATGTCTCTTGAAAACCAAGGTGCTTGTTGTCTGCTGAGTTTCAAAGTCTCGGTGATTTTCATTTCCCACTTTGGCAGTACCTGATGGGTACTGGTAAGTGCTGAACATTTTATATTTGGGCTTTGCCTTATCGTACTTCTTCCTCAGTCAGCAAATGTCAAATGTCTATTTGTCCCAGCCTTGAGCTTGGCAGTAGAGTTGTTATGTTCTGGAAACTAGTGGGTCTATCTAAACAGCATTGCTGACCAAGTTACTCATCCTAAAATGTCTGTAATTTGGTTTTGGAAATTGTGTATGCTTTGGTGAGTGGTAGTATAATTACTAAATCCACCTTGTTGTCTAGGCTCTTCATAGTTTAGAGTTGGGGTGTCTCTTGAGAACAACCTGTTGGTAAAGCCCAGTTTTATTTGTTTTGGGGCCATACAGTCTCATTGAGCTACCCAGGCTATTATCAAACTTCTGGGCTCAAGGGATTCAGCTTCCTCGGGAGTACAGATGCTCTCCCCGTACCTTCATTAATTCCAGATAGAAAAGGCTTTTTGGAGTCTTTAAGGTTAAAGATTTATCATTTATTATTTTCATGTGTATTTGTGCTCCCATGTGAGTTCATGTGCACCATGTATGTGCAGGAACCTGTGTGGGCAAGAAGACAAAATCAGATCCCTTGTAAAATGCCATGTGTGTGCTGGAAACTAAACCTGGGTTCCCTGCAAGAAACTGCCGAGCCATGTACCCAGCCCCATCTTTAGTTATTTTAAATAGTGTAAATCATTCCAGGAATCAAAATGTTTTAGGCTCAATAAAATAAACCTACTCCAAGATAGATTGTTAGAAAAAGTACAAATTGGTACTAGAATAATTTCACATTTGTGCAAAGAACTATTAGATTCTTAATTCTACAAGCAATATATTTCGAAAGGATAGAAAATAATTAAATGGCCATTGTTTCAGGGAGGAAGAAGTGAAAGTAAAATTCTAAACCCATTGAACTGACGAGGGTGTGGCTGTGATAGAGCACCTTTGTCTGGCACTGGGTGAGGCTCTCTGCTCTGTCCAAGCACTGGCACCACTTCCCCTAAAGACTGGGAGGAGTTTAGAACAGTAGTTTTTGTTTTGTTTTTTTTCCCCCTCAGATTCCTTTTTCTTGTTTGATGTGAGCAATTTTTTTTTATTTAATTAATATCCAAGCCAGGTACTGTCATTTTGGAATAGTGAAGCTGAAACTAGGCTGCATTTTTCCCAGTAGAGACCAGAGTGTACTGATTTTAAGTTTTAAAGAGGAACAGTTTGATTTGTATTCTCAAAATGACATTTATTTCTAGATTCCTGGAAAAGATGAAGTTTATTTCTCAGATCGTAATAATGTATGGTCTTTGTTATTTCCAAGGTTTTAAGTGAGTAAGTGCTGCATGAAGCGTGGAATAAAGAAGCTGAGTGTTCTGACATTTGATTCAGCACAAAAAGTGCTTTTTATACTCCTAGCCTTTGAGGCTTGGGGACTTTGTGAAGGAATATGGAGCTCAGTTGTACTCATTCTCTCTGCTGCTCAGTGTGCCTTTTGATCAGTGTTCATGTTTTTAACTCTTAGACGAAGTGTCCTTTCATGAAAAGGGAAAAATATTTTAATGTAATGGATTTTCAGATTTTTTCTTCTATATGTGTAAAATTTACTTCTTTGAATGCTGAATATCAATTCCTGAATTCTTTGAAGCTGCTTTGAGAAAGATGCTGCGTGTGTCTGTTCATTTCTGGTAGTTAGCCTGTAATGCAGAATCATTGCCCCCAGTTTCTCTGGTTGACAGACTGCTTTTTGAAATGCTACTGGATTTTTCTAAGTGTTAGGCACATGGTTGCTGTTTACTCCTACTCATGGATAGGAGGTTGTTTGTCTGATTCTTGACACATCCTTAGAAATAACGTAGTGTGGAAATCTCTCCTCAGAATGAAAATGAAAATTCTAAGGGATGAATTAGTTACTCAGTACCGTAAACCCTTATTAATACTAAAATAGAAACTTAGATTTAAACAGAGCTAGGTTATATTATGAAGTTTAGATTTCAAAAGACTCTGTCTTTGAAAAATACATCTCTCTCTGTCCTGTATTCTAGACATTCTGGTCAGATTGTAGAGGAACAGGTAAGGCACAGATCCTGCCTCAGGGCTTGCAGTTAGTGACAGGGTGAGTTGCCCAACTAAGGGTCATGAAACTCATGTTTTGAGAAAGCTACAGTAGATCTTGAAGGAATAAAGCAGGTCTGATGGAGGTGGGGAGAAAGATGTCTGGGCAGACAAAAGACACTGATATTACTTGGGATTGGCTGGTTGGTCCATGTGCTGGGCTGGGCAGTATTAAAGGTAAAGGCTGTAGATGCAGAAAAGTAGACAATGTGCCTTCAATTGAGAAGTCCGAACTTAAAATAAAAGGTGGCGGATTTGAGAGTAATAAGAAGGGAGTTTCGGCACAAAGTAACCCAGAGTCCCCAGGATCAGATTGAGTCTTGGTACATATTAAGCTTAGCTTGGGATCACAGTCAAATAGTTAAATATTTTTGAGCTGTTTACCTGCTACATGTGATGGGGACAACCTTTATTCCACAAGCAGTTAGGAGGACTAGGAAGAGACATGGAAAGAGAACACCAGTGCTCTGTAATGAAAGATGAAATAGAGACAGTTCCCTGCATGTATTCTAAGCTTCTAGGTAGAAATGAAAACATTTGTGAGGTGATTTTACAAATTATGAATTTAAAAAATTAAACATTTAAGAGTATTAGAACATTAAATGTTTCTCAAATAGCTTAAGACATGGCTTCTATAATTTTACTTTAAAACAATTTTTTAATTTTTTAATATGTATTTCTGTATATTTATGGATGAATGTGTCTGAAGAAACCAGAAGGATGGGATCATTGGTGCTGGAATTACAGGTGGTTGTGAGCTGCCTGATAATGGGGGTTTGGGGAACCAAACTTAGGTCCTCTGGGAGAGCAGCAAGCACTGTTTCCCCCTGAGCCATTTCTCCAGCCCCCTCATTTCACGTTGTTGGACTTGTTACTTAGGAGTCTTAGTGTGGCGAACTGGAAAGCAGGATTTGCCAGATGGTGAAATTTCCAAAGGACAGGCTTCATGTTTTTGTATTTTATACATTCCCCAACACCCTAGCCCAGGAGTTAATTTTTAGTTGAACATGTGTATTTTACATTTGCTAATATTTTAGTCTTTTAAATTACTCTTTCATTTAGGCTTCTTTACTTTTAAAATTAAAGAATAAGGTAAAGTAGTACATGAATAAATTTTCTGTAAAACATAACAACTCAAAGCACCACAGCATAACAACTTACAGCAGAATACCACAGCCTGGGAAACTTATTTCTTATAGTAGTTTAGAAGCAGAGAAGTTCAGGATCAAGTTCTGGGTTAGGGGGTTCCTGGTGAGGACTCTTGCTGACTTGTAGGAAGAAGCATTTTCACCAAAGCCTTTCCTCTGTGCCACATTTTGATAGCAGATGTTTGGGAGTAAGCCCTTTGGTATCCTTTTAAGGGCACACAGTCTTGTAGGATGAGGGCCATGCCCTTATGACCTCATGGAGTTTTAATTATTTCCTTATTTCAGATACAGCTATACTGGGAGACCAGACATGTTCAGTCAACACACAGTAAAAAAGAGGTTTCCATAGTGACTTTTGTGGCTTAGTATTTTGTAGCAGTGGGTGAAGTTAGGAGGTGTACTGTACTTCAGTCTAGACCTGCATGTATATGTGAATTCTTTGAGTTCTTACTTCTCATGTTGATAGTTTATTAGCTAGAGTAGCCGTTTACAACCAAGCTAGCATTATAAAATTTATTAGCCATTCTAGCAGTGTCTTTTTTTTTAAAAAAAATAGGTTGATTTTTTTCTTATGTGTATAAGTGTTTTACTTGAGTGTATGTTGTCTACCTCATGTGTACAGTGCTTGTGTGGTATTGGGTTCCCTAGAACCAGAGGGACAGATGGTTGTAAGCTGGTGGGAATTGAACCTGGGTACTTTTCCAAGAGCAGCAAGCATGTTTAACGGCTGGACATCTCTTTAGCCCCTCTAGTAGTATCTTGAACCTTGAACCTGTTTTACATGTTTGAGCCCCCCTCCTCCCAATACAGCTTGATTTCTGTAGGAACTGTCTCCCTAATTCAGTGGTGATTTATTAAAAACATAATATGTTAAAGTTCTACAGTTTTTAAAGGTGACTAAACTGATTTGGAACAAAGACACCTTAGCTGACTTTAAAATATAAGTCTGTCTCTTACACACACACACACACACACACACACACACACACACACACACACACACACACACCACTACACATCTTATGGGAATTTGATTTCTTTCTAAGTTAGTTTGTATTGCAGAAGGTTGAAGAAGGACTTTTACTTGGTTTCTCAGAGTGCTTATGTTGCTATGCTTTCTTACAGGCCAGCCCTCCAGACCTCTATATTGAGAGATTTAATATAGCTCTGGGACAGTATATGGGAGCATTACAGAGCATCGTGCCTCTTTTCATATATATGGTAAGTTAGAGCTCTGTTTACCTCCCAAACCATGTGGTTTTCTTTTCCTGAGTCAGATTAACGATGGGTGTCTTCATGAATCTGGAGTTGAGAGTAGGAGGTGTAATCACTACCTTATTCTTCACATCTCAATGGAATAAGCCTAAGAGTGAAGGTGACAGAAGAAATCATGCCCAATTCTGAGAGTCCCCCTCACAGTTTTATTTTATTAAACTTGTTCTTTCACCATTTCATCCTATGTGTAGTACATTCTGTTCCCTCTTATCCCCCTCTGTGTTACCCCGCACCCCCATACACAGGTCCCATTCCCACATTCTTGCTGAGAGAAGAACTCACAGAGATCTGCCTGCATCTGCCTCCCAAGTGCTGGGATTAAAGGCGTGCGCCTCCACCGCCCAGCCTTATTATTATTTTTTTAATCAGTACATTTATACATTATTCCCTTAAACACTATTTGATTCTCCCACTCATGGGTATGATTGCTTTCCCTTGTTGATATATAAAAACTTATTTTATTTTTCAGAATAAGTTTTACATAGAAACTAAACTTAACAGAGACTTAAAAGATGATCTTATAAAGCTGTTTACGGAACACGTTGCAGAAAAGCACATTTACAGCCTAATGCGTAAGTAATTTCACTTCTTATGGGGGGAGACAGTACTAGCCATGGTCTCCTTTTCCTTCTTCCCTTTCTTCTCCAGCTCATTCTTTTCCTTTCATCTGAGAACATTGTCTTCTGAATTCCAGTATTGACATCTCTAGAACCAGACCTCAGTCTGCAGAGAGAGACACCTGGGGTTGAAATTTTAATTTACCAGTCATCGGTTGTTGTTGGAATACTTAGGCAGGTCACGTATTGGACAGTGTCTTGTGCCTGCCCTGATCTGTGTTGCCTTTCTTCACTGAGCAGAAGTTTGATTAGCAGGGTTGCATGTAACTGCAGTATCACTCACTGACTCTCAAAGGGGTGCTAGGTGTCTATCTGGTTTCTACTGTTAGTCTAGTGTGGCTGCTACTCACTGTGTTAGCGAGCTGCTAGCCTCCTGTGGATGAGCATTTGTAAAGTATTTACCATGGCTGTGTAGATAGCTAAATCAGGGACAGGTGCCAAGCTCAGTCTTTCCTACTCCTGGCTCACAGTAGGTGGCATCGTTTCCTCTTCATCTAAAGTAGACTCCAGGTGTACCTTCAGTTGTCTCTCCGCACCTTCAAAAAAGCACCCAGCAAGGCATTCTTTAGTAATTTGGTACTAATGTAGACTGTAGTTTATATTTTCTTGCAGTATTTCAGTTGTAATTAGTTGTTGCCACACAGATGTTTTACTGAAATTTACAAAGTAATTGTTTTAAGCTTGATCACAAACTCTTTTTGTTACTTTTGATTTTAAATTAAGAGAAGGGATTTATATACTAGACCAGTTTACTTTTGCAAGGCACAGTTTTTACAAAATCGTATAGATTCAATTGACATCAATTAGCTCCCAAAGAGTCCAGAGTCTCTTAGAGAGGGCCTTGCGTTGGCTTAAAACTGTAAGCAATTTTCCTGCCTGAGCCTTCCAAGTTCTGGAATTCAGAGTTTTATTACTGCACCAGCTTCTAACTATTGGTTATAGCCTTGATACTGACATTGTTTTTAATTTTTTTTTATTTTGTTTTGTTTTTGGAGACAGGGTTTCACTGTAGTTTTAGAGCCTGTCCTGGATCTAGGTCTTGTAGATCAGGCTGGCCTTGAACTCACAGAGATCTGCCTACTTCTACCTCCTGAGTGGTGGGAATAAAGGCATGCGCCACCACTGCCTGGCTTTTTTTTTTTTTTTAATTTTTTTAAAGCACATTTTCTTCTTTGTTAAACTTTTATAAAGAAACACTATGTCTGATAGAAATATGTATTTTATTTCTAAATGACTTTATACTTGCTAATAATTTGGAAGTCAACTTTATTGTATATACAGAAAATATTAAAGAGAATATTATACTTAAATTGACTGTAAGTACTTTCTAGTCTGGGCTTTTCAGAAATTGACACTTAAAGGATACAGCCTTTTCCCAGCAAATAGAAAAGGCCTTACATTTTTGTAGGCTGGATTAAACTAAACACATCAGATATTTATTGAGCAGCTGGTATGTATTGTACGTAGGATGGAAGACACAGCTGCTGGCCACACTGGTTTGGGTCCCAGGACAAGGAAGCTCTGTAAATGTTTGACAGGTGCATAGATGATCGGCACAAGGATTGTCAACAGGCACACACACGGTTTACATGCAGTAGGACCTGTTCTAGATACTTTACAAATATTGTTTAAATTTCATTACACTAAGGTAGGTGGTCATTACCATAGAAATTGAGACAGATAAAAATAAGGTCAAAACAACAGTAATTCAGGGTTGGTATTTTGACTCTAGTGGCTACAACACAAGTAAGTACACCCAATGTCTGTGTTTTTCTAAAAATCAGAACATTAGTTTGTAGCACGATTACTAAAAACCCAGAGACAGATAACAGATATTGGGGTTCAATCTGAAGACCAGAAAAGCAAAGCAGCCAGCCACTGGCTCTTACCTCTACCTCAGTCCAAAATGGAGATACTGCCTTCTGAACCCTCAGAATGAGATTGAAGTAGAGCTGTATAAACATAATACCTTAAACAAAAGTAGAAAAGTACATATAACAAAATTGACCTTAAACTTATATTAATAAACCAGAGTCTATACTAACATACAGTAGTTATTTCTGTAGCATTAGTTTCCTTCCTTTGGTCTTTAGCACACTGGACATGCTACTGTTCCATTAACTATCAATTGGAAGTACAGTGGCTCCAGCCAGCACCGTCTTTCAATCTGCTGTATTCTGGAAAGGGCTTTTTGAAGCAGCTTCTCTGCCCTACTCTGCATTGGCTGATGTGGCCTAGCTGGGGCTTTCCATTGCTGGCTTGCATGACTGCTAAGTTTTTAGTTTCTTAGACTTTCTCCAATAGTGAAATGTTCCAAGATTCATAAAGTAGAAACTTGGAACTGTGTTTAAAGTCCTAGACACAGGAAAGATTTCCTGCATCCTATTGGGTAGACTACTGGGGGACATCATGGACCCCCATCTCTCATTGGGGGGGTATTTCAGACTAGTGTGTGAGTTCATATCTTAAACTAATAAGGCAAGAGTATGTGCTAAAGACAGATTGGTACTCGATGTCCTTATGTTCATGAATTAATACTTTGTGAATAAGAAACAGTTTCTGTTATAGGTGAGGCACAGTGCATGGTCATTGCATACATGTGTCCTTGGAATATAAAGTGACATGGTTTTGACTGTAACAAAATTGCTTTCCTTAGAAAAAAGTTTTCACTTTGAATTAAACTGAATGTAGAGCTAGGAGGATTTACATTAATTGAAGTATTTAGATGGTGCTGTACTGAGCAGATGTGAGAATAAATATATTCATAATCAGGTTGGACATTTCAGAGAAAGTATGATGTCAGAATCCTCTGGACAATGAAGGTAGTGAGATGGCTCAGTAGGTCAGGCTGCCTTCTGCCAGATCTGGCGGTCTTAATCCTTGGAGTAGGAGTGAAAGAGAAGTGGCTGTCTGAAGTTGTCTTCTGATCTCTACACATGCACAGTGACATGCATGCACGTGTGTGCACCACACACGCTGTAAGTACATGTAATGAAAACTTAAAGTAAGAAAACCCTTTGCAAGATCTTAGCACCAAGGAATCTTTGAAACATCAGAGGAGCTCAGGACTCAGCAATTTACTGAAGAGTTTAATGCCATAACATGGGAAGAGAGATTAGAACACCCTGTGATTGATACACTTCTGTGAGTAACAGGATTGTTGAAGCACCCTGTTCTTTGATAAATGACTTTTAGAAGAAACCAGTTACTAAGAACAACACTTTACTAGCTCCAGTCCATGTAAAACCAGTGTCTCTGTGGTATGTGTGCTGAAGGAAGAGTGAGTATAGGGTTCAGAGGGAATACAAGTTCCTAACCATATGAAATGCTCCTCTGGTTAAAGCAGAGATAGCAAAGGCCAGAATTTGCTAGGGGCAGTAAACACCCCACCCCTTGCATCCTTAGTAAATCCCAGTTCTTTAAGGGGGAAAAAAGCTGGAGAATCCTTTAAACTTGAGTACTTTCTCCCAAGAGTATAAATAGAGACAAGAAGATGCTATCAAATTATTAAAATACTTTATCAGCTCTTGATAACCTTTTGTTTTGTTTGCTTTATTGAGATAGTCTCTTGTAGCCCAGCCTAGCTTGGAACTCTTAAAGATGATCTTGAACTTCTGATCCCCTTCTTTCACGTTCTATGCCTGGTTTACGTGGTGCTGGGGGTCAAACCCAGGACTTTGTCCATGGTAGAGAAACACTACCAAACTGAACTGCACCCCCAGCTGTAGTAATATTTATTCTTTGAATATAATTAATTATAGTCCACCCCAGATTATTTATGCACATTTCATATGCCTGTATGTCTTTATTAAATTTGCCATTTCTTCATAGCTGTTAGATTGACATAGAAATTATGGAGGGACTGTTGTTGAGGTCAGTACTTAGCCACATATTGAGGATGTGGTTAAGCATGAAGACCTCAGGTATTGGTCAAAAATTAAGAACTTAGATTGGTAAAAAGAGCACTTACATTTGGGGTACATGCTGAGTACCTAAGGCTTTCGGAATACAACATTTAGAATTTCAGTTTTTAAACATTAAATTTTGACATATCATGATTTTATAACAGTTCACATTTGTTTTCCTTAAAATTTGTTATTCAGAATCGAAATTATATTTGGATAATGAGATGGGAAGAGTAAACAAAGCACCTCTGGTGATCTTTATTAGCAGACTCCATAGCAGGTCATAGCCCATGTCTGAAGTTACCAAATCCTTAAAGTGTAAGGAGGTATTTCCATTTTTAAAAAGACAAGGATAAAGGAAAATAGTTAACTACAAACCTGGCTTATATAAATATCCCACCATTTAGTTTTCTTCCCCCCCCCCCTTTTTTTTTTGTTTTGGATAGTACAATATTTCTGTAGTGGGTATTTTTGTTTGTTTGTTTGTTTAATCTTTGAGAGACAAATTAAAAATGAACTGTTTCAGGGCTGTGGCACTTGGTCTCCCAATAGACATGGAATTAGTATGTTAATGATTATAGAAGTATTATTGAAGTAATTCCTTGTTTTAAAAATGGAGGAAGTGTAGGTTATATAGAAGAAAGTTGACTGTTCAAAGTTGCTGAAGTAGAAAAGGTGAGTTATCATCTCTGCCCTTTTGCATAAGAAGATTTTTTTTGTAGAAAGATGGAGCTATGGCATTTGGGAAAGGAAGCTTTGATACAGTTAATGAAATTATTATTGGTTGAGTTTCCCTAATCCTGAAAGTCCAAAGTACTCTGAAATCTATAGTCTACTTTGTATTTGATGGGGAGGGAGTTTCCCTGTGTTGTTCTGGCTGGCCTCTGACTTAGATCTGCCTGCCTCTGTCTCCTGCGGGCCAGGAGTAAAGACTTGTGCCACCATTCCCAGCTGAAATCTGTAGCTTTTTGAGCATGACAGAAATTCGAGTACTTAGATTTGTTGCATTAGGGATGCTCAGCTAATAAAATCCAAGACAACTTGTGATCCAAGCATTTGAGATAAATAAGGGTCACCTGTCATTTTCTCCCCATACGGGCAGACACTTTGAGCTACGGAATGAGCCCCCCAGTTCTGTTGCTTACTTCTCTGAGACTCTGCACTGCTTCAGTTACTAGTCAGCAACAGATTCCTGTTTTATTGAGTGCTGTGTAAAGGCTTTGTAATCGTTCTGTATGTATAAACTTTTCATCTGTCTTGTGCTGCTCTTCTTGTGGTGTTTACCTCTTCGGCCTTCAAAATGCTAATAGAGAGAAATATTACTGTTAGCAAGTGTTACATGCTTTTTTCTTTTTTTTTTAATTCTTTTTCATTTTTGTTTATTTCTTTTCTTTTCCTCTTTTTTTCTTTTTTTTACCTGTTTTTTCTTCTTATTCCAGCTTTACTTTTAGAAGCCCAGTCAACACCATTTCAGGTCACACCTTCAACTATGGCAAATATTGTGAAAGGCCTGTACACTCTCAGACCAGGTAAACACCTGTCATTTCTGTTGGGATTGGGCCTGTGTTTTTATTTATTACAGCCTTATCCAAAGGGCATTGGTTCTTACATGCTCTCTAAGGCCAAATGACATTTGGGTTTACTGTAGTAAAAATCCTGGAACTCAAATCTGCGTGAAATGTTGGTTTAGGACTTGCTTGGAACTCGTTTTCTACCAGTGAAAAGCAACTGCTTTGGTTTTTGTAGCACCTGAGAGAGATCCACAGAATAATTTGCTGTACTGACAGTTGAAAGTACAGTCATCCGTGAACTGAAGCAGGAGGGGTGATTCTAAAGCCAGCCGGAAAGCCTCATAGCTAACAAAGCAAGAAAGTGAATAGTGTATTTGTTGTTAGGGAGTTTCTCTTTGATTTCACACTGTAAGTATGTGCAAGAATACAAACTCAAATTACACCTTCTAGCTCATTACATAACTGACAAAGGATTAGAACAGTTGATAAAGTTATGTCATGAGAATTTGGGGGAAGAAACATAAGCAGTGCCCATATTTACAAAGGAGGCCTGTAAATGACCTTACTGTGCCTATTCATAGAAAAACATGGCGGATGCAAAGCAATCCAAAGAGCCTTTGTAGGACATCAAGTTTGCCACCGAGTTATCTACCATTTACAACATGCCCACAGGAGAAGCTTGTAGAAATCTCAGGTTAAAACATTGTCCTACAATCAGTAAACACAAAAGATACTTTATTTTTTTTTGTACAGAAATTACTGTTTTGAGAGATTTTGTTATCTGAAGATCCAAAAAAATAAAATGTGAATGAAGAATTTTACCTGGGGACTGGAGAGATGGCTCAGTGGTTAAGAACACTGGCTGCTCTTCCAGAGGTCCTAAGTTCAATTCACAACCATCTCTAGTGGGATCTGGTCCCCTTTCTGGCATAAAGTCAGCAGAGCATCCATATACATAAAGTAAATAAATAAATCTTTAAAAAAAGAATTTAACCTGATACCAATAATAAGCATTTTTAACTTGGTATTCGTCTCTTGAATTTTATGATTATTTTTGATGAATTGATAATTGATTTAAAAGACACTTCAAATTTAGTTTGCTAAATTTACTTTGCTAAGTTTTGAACCAAGAACCAAGTGAAACTGCTATCAAGAAATTACTAGTATTATTATCATTATTAATATTTTGAGGCAGGGTTTCTCTGTGGCCCTGGCTGTCCTCGAAGTCACAGAGATCTGCCTGCTTCTGCCTCCCAAGTGTTGGGATTAAAGGCATTTGCCACCACTGTCTGGCAAGAAATTATTTTTTCTTGAGGTACTATAAAATGATTAGTGACTTGTAGTTTTCATGTTTATTATCTAACTTTGGTCTTGAGCTGATTCGTTGTAACTTTTAACAGTAATCAAGTATCAAGTACTTACTTTTATAACGTTAAAAATATCTTACTACATTTTCTAGTAACTATTTTTCTTCTAGCTTTTCTGATATTTGAATTTCATTTTCCTATAGTGTTATTAAGAATCCTCATGAATTTTTTGTATAATAGATTATGAATGATGTTTTTCTTTTATGTTGGAAGTCTTCCCAGTGTAGAATGACAAATTCTGCCTCATAAGTAGGCAGGTTTATCAACCATGACCTTTAATATATGCAGCAAAATTACAGAATAAAGCTAATCACTATGGGTAGAAAAAAATTAGATGCCTAAATGCTAAAAATTTAAATATCTAAATGCTATTTTATCGAGGTTGAGCTCTGGAAATAGGATTTATACTTGTGAGGAGAATTCTTTGAGAATTGTCCTTTTCAAAAGGTGAGTTTTATCACAGACTAACCTTTTGCTACCCTAGGCGTGTTCAGAGACGCTGTTAAATGTTTTGACATTTCCATGTCTTGCCAGTGCCCATTATGTTCCTGGTCTAGTAAAATTTAGTCACCTGACAGATTAAGGTTGGAATATTTCAAAAGCTGAATTTGAAACATAGAAGCTTCTTCTGCCACAGGTGTCCTCACTCATGTTAGTCTTTGTGTGCCACATTTCAGCCTTCACCCTGCCCTCACCCACTGGCAATTTAGAGGATTTAGCGTTGATGTTAACTTTCCCGTCAAGAGTTTTTAAAAACTCACTTTTGGAGCAGCTGCAGCAATCTTACTCTGCCTCTTTTCATCTAATACGCACGCTTTTGTTTCATTATCTTTGTGTTAACGACTCCTTGAAGATAAACCACCTGGTGGAAGGACGGGCTGGCTGGCGGGCGCTGCTCCTGCATGCTTCCTCTCTTTAGCCCTTCTGCAGCTGCACATTGTTTTCTACTTTTTACTTGCTGTTGGCCGCCACCACACAGAATCAAAAATGTGGCTTTCAGATTGTAGTTTTTAAAGAAGGCTTGCCAGCTTTATAGAGCATTGTCATGTTTCTTTCAGTATAAACAGCCAGAATTTTTATAAAGGGGGCATTTTGAAAGCCCTAACCTGAAATACTTGGAAAAACCTAAATAGTGCTCATGGAAGACCTTATTCAGGAAGTTCAGGTGCCGTGCCATCCCTGACCAGTGTGCACGTGGGTTTTACCTTGAATAATTAATATTAGCAAGCCTACTTAATGCTGTGTATTTTTTCTTCAGATAATTCATTCCTGTCTTTGTTTGTTTGTTTTGATTCAGGGTTTCTCTGTATAACAATCCCAACTGTCCTGGAATGTACTCTGTAGACTAGGTTGGTCTTGAACTCACAGAGATCCGCCTGCTTCTGCCTCCCGAGTGCTGGGATTGAAGGTGTGTGCCACCACCACCTGGCTCATCCTGTCTTTTTACTCTTCTCTGAACCTGATTTGTACAAATACTCTAATACACATTTTTGTTATGTCTGGTAGAAATGTATCCCTATGTCCTCTCTTTGCTCTTTTATTTTCTATAGATTATTTTTCTGGTCTTTCTCTTGATAACCATGTAATTCTCTTTACTATTGTATTCCCACTCCCACACAGAGTTGTCATTTAACAGGGATCAAAAGAGATTTATTTGCAAAGCACTAACTAGTTCTCCACTTCCTTGCCCCATTTGGATTTTTTTCCTCTCTGGGTTATACTTGTTCCCTCTGAAGTGCTGTGTTCTGGGACTGGTTTCTTGTTGAATTACTGGCTCATAGAGAGCTAGTTTAGCCATCTAGCTGCTTCTCAGCACATCCTTTTCCACTCAGCATGGTACAGTAATCTCATTTGTGTTTTCCTACATCTTTATAATTTTTTTGCAAGATTAGACAAAAGTTATAGGTTTTCATTTAATTTTCTTGAATCAGTAATGTAAAAATGTCAATTTTCTTTATACTTTTTAGAAAGAAAAATATACATTTTTGTGTGTTCACCAAAATAGGGCTGGGCTAAGTTTTCATTTGGTTTAATATATATATTCTTGTTGTTTAAATAAGAAACTTGCTTTTTAAATTTCTTATTATTTTTCTTAACAAATCATATGTTTCCTTTTACAGAATGGGTTCAGATGGCTCCGACTTTGTTTTCTAAGTTTATTCCAAACATTCTGCCTCCAGCTGTGGAATCTGAACTATCTGAATATGCCGCTCAAGATCAGAAGCTTCAAAGAGAACTTATACAGAACGGTTTTACCAGGCAAGTTGGCTTTCCTTTAGTGACAATGAAGCCCATTTTCCTAGGCTTGTAGCTTAGCTAGAGAGAGTGTCGAGTATCACTGTCTGAGAGCCGGGAGCTGCGGGCTCCTTATCTGTACATCCCAGCTGGGTGCTAAGCTGGAGGAAGCCGTGCATTTCTGTGTGCATTTTGAAGAATGAACAGTTAGATGGGACAAGGCCTTCTTCCAGGTTAGAGTCTCTCACATTAATTCTGAAACAACGCAAAAACATTTTTGTCATGTTTTCTCTAAATATAAATTTTCTTTAAAAGTAAAGTCTCTCTTTATAAATGTCCAGAAATTTTCCTTCCCTTGCTTTTGGTGTTTATGTTTATTTTTCTAAAATGTTTGCAATTATGGCTGTACCCCAGAGAAATCATAGTAAGCACAGGTCTTTTTTTCTTTAAATTAGAATGAATTAATATAAAAGTCTGGTGATTTTCAGTGGGAAAGTACTTGATTGTGTTAGGAAGTCAAGGACACACTAATTATATTTTCATAACTTTTCATGTTTATCTGTCTCTCCTATCTTCTGGTATCTGAATACCTAGTGTTAAGGAAACTTGTGAGAATGAAGACCCAAGCAGCAGATTGAATCTTGATTATCTGATGGGACAGGATGGGCATTTCTCTAAAAAATTCTGAGGCCAAACTGAATTTCAGAAACAGACAAAGGAAAACAAAACAAAAACAGCCTTTACCATGGTTGCTTACTTAATCTGTTTCAGGTTAAGAAAAGAAGGAAATGTTGTTTGTCTGTCTGTCCACAGATTGGACTTCATTGTGTGGGGGGACATCAGTAGTCATGAGGTAGTGGAGGTACTGAGAATCCCACTGGTCATTTAGTTCCCTCCCTAGTAGCTGCCACCAGAAGTGTCAGTGCAGATAGGTGTTACTTGAATGTAAGAGGTAGCTTTTCTGTTTGAGATTGAGGAATCCTGTATCTTCCAGTATTGAAGTATTTTGTGCATGGAGTGAAGCCATTAATGCCACATTCTTTGACAGTTTCATGGATGCACGTAATCGATCATGTCAGAGTTGGGTTGGGATGAAATGAGTAGCTGACTCTGGAAGCGCCATCATACAGTATTTCTTTTGCTTTCAGAGAGCTATTGTAGTGTTGAGCTGCCAAGGCCAATGGGATCAGAGAACTGCCTTAGGCTATTGAAGTAAATTAGAATTGTTATTACTCATAATGAATTCTTTAAAACAGCTTCTGACTGAGTTTTAAACATTAGGTTGTATTCTAAGAGGTAGTAAAATTGAGATGTCTTGTAACACAAACTTAAGCCACTTCTATAGTTGACACTATATTACACATTTACTCTGAGGATTAAACTCTGCCTTCTAAGTGATTCTGACAGGTACTTTGAGCAGAGTAAGCCCTGCCAGAGCTGACATCCTATGACCCACTTTTAGGCTTATTAACCACCTATCAGAAAGGACTGCCATGCTCAGCCCTGTTGCAAGCCTGTCTCTGTGTCATGGGCCTTCTTTGGAATACCCTGTCAGACTGATGTTCTCTTGAGTCATTATCTAGCTAGAATTGTCTTAGAGAGACATAGTGTTCACTGATATGAAAGGGGAGAACCCCCAAAATATATAGGCTCTCAGATAACTCTTTGACTGCCTCTTTGGACTTGAGCAATAATTTGTGAGTTTTATTTCACCAAGTTTGTGGTTCTTTATTGGAATTCCAAGCTCTTCATTTTGTGTCAAAGTCTTTGAAATGTTTTTACATACTATGCAAATGTCTTCAGATAGATTCTCCTCTGCAGTAGCTCTTTAGATGCATGGGAGTACAGGGAAGACTTATTTTGAAACTAGAGTGGTAATGTAGTCTTGAAGCATGATCTTCTTGTGGGTAATTGAATTGGTTGGAGAGGAGGATAGGTTGATGTCTGCTGTCAGAAATACCTTGAAACAGAAAACATGGGCCCTTGGCTGGAGTATACTGTTCAGGCCAGCCTAGAGTCCCACCAAACATTTTGCAAGGGCAAATAAGATGTTCTGCCTGAGAAGAGGTGACTTCTGTTTCTGGAATATAGTAAAACCGTGTAAAGATACTGGTGTTTATGGTTTGTTGTTGTTGTTGTTTGTTCTGCTGAGAGGGAGGCCCCTGGATTTGGGCTTTTCCATTTCATAGAGCAGTGTGCAGCGGGCAGACTTCATGAATCAGTTTTGTTTTTTGCATCTGCATCAATTATTTTCCTCTGGCCTACTGTTTCCACATTTGCATTTCACCCCTATTACTGGTCTGTCTTCATTTTCTATTTAACGAGAGAGGAGGTAGGAATGGATACTTTGTTTAGAAGTAGAGGTTCTGATAAAAGGTTTTGAATCTTCAGTTTTAATCAGTATTATAACCACAGAAGTTGCTTGGCTGGATTTGGTAGGGCATAAAGTTGGATATCTTTTTAGGCTGCTCAGGACTATTCCTGGAGAATACAGTGGAATTTCTTTTAGATGTTCACTGTAAAGAACCATATACCTTCCAGGCATGTATTATGGTCTCTCTGCCAGTCATCAAGGATCCTTAGATTAGCAAGAGATGTCTGTCTTGGTCAGAACCAAATAGGGGAAAGAATAAACTTCGAATATCTGGAAAATTATTCAAAATCTTAGAACATTTCAAAAGTAGCATTGGTTTAGTAATCAGGTATTATTTTGTTTGGTTAATTGAGATGTGGGATGCTCAGGTCAGCTTTTTAGTAATATCTGAGATTGTGAATTATTAACCAATTTGTTGACTGAGCAGATGATAGATTGCCAGTGTCTCTTATGTTCTAGACACTGAGGCACTAGGGTGGACAAGACAGACAAAGTTCTCACTTTCGTGGTACTTACGATCTACTGTTGGCAAAGAGATAATAAACTTGCAAAAGTACATACAGTTTCAAGTAAAAAGTAAACACTGTGAGAGAATTAGAGAATGAAGTAGAGTTAGGGGTTATCAGTGACGTGGTGAGAGGTTAGGAGGAAGAGACAAGCTATGTAACCGCCTTGGGAAGAGAGCAGCAAACAGAAAAAGATTACCACCCCAAAGTGAGCAGAGGTGGTAAGTGCTGGAAAATGAGGTGGGAGATGTAGTCCAGAGCCTGTCAGTGGCTGGGAGATGAATTGGAATTGATTTTAAACTGTAGTGGAAAGTTATGAAGAGTTTTAATCAGAGGTGTGAACTGATCTTATACCTTGTATAAGCTCACTCTGACTTTTTGTCAAGAATAATACAAGCCTGCGGAAGGTTTGGGGATGGAGCTGAACAGATGTTATATTCTCGGTATGGTAGTTTTCAGTGTGTATTTAATAATGAGAATACTGAACCTACAGATCTCAGGCAGACAGAAATCAAAAGTGATCTGTAAATTTCTGAGCTACAGACTGACAAGGTCTGCATCTTAGAAGAAAGGGAAGAATGTGTATGGAGAAGCAAAGGTGGCCTATGGCTGTCAGTCAGAGCAGCAAAGGACACCAATAGTGGGTGGAAGAGGGTCAGAAGAAGCTAAGAAAAAAGTATTTCAGGAAGGAGGATTGATGGCACCCTTGGTTGAGACAAGTGGAGCCATTACTGCTCATTGCTTAAGCACTGGAGTTTTCGGTTAGTGTCTGAAGTCAGAAAGCCAGAGTGTGATTCATAGGAGGCGTAAGGCCTGTTCACAACCACTCTTGACTGCCTCTAGGCTTGTGAAGCTAGACTGGGCACGATATCTGAAGGTTTGTGCTCTCCACCTGAAGGGTCTGCAGACACCTTAGTTTCTGACTTCCAAAGGCTTGGAGGGTCTCAGTTTGGGGCTTGAGGGCAAGATTTTTAACTTCTCTCTGTTTGATATTTAAAGTTTGGTTACTGTGTGCAGGTTCTTGGGGATAATATTAACAGAACCCAAGATTGTCGTCAAAGACATATTTTACTTTCCACCTGTTTCTAGTTCTCAGTGTAAACTGTCCTTATAGATGATCATTCATTTAATAACTTTCTATGTTTTGCAGACTACATACCCTTGAGGTACAAATACTCGGGGTAAATGACTCAGCTGATGTTTAATGTCTGTTTAAACAGGCTGTTGGGTTAGGACAGCATTTGCTGTTCGATTTATTTCTGCTGGTTTTGTGTGTAAAGAAACCAGTCAGTTTTGTTGACTTCTTTCTCTTTTCTTATCCCTAGAGGTGACCAGTCCCGGAAGAGAGCTGGGGATGAGTTGGCTTATAGTGAGTAATGATGCTTTTCCTGTTTTGATGGTTTTGATATGGGCCAGCTTCTGAGGTTAAGTGTGGAATCCATGGGGTGGAGTTGGTGGTCTAGGTGGCACAGTATGACTCGTGAAGTTGAAGTCCTGGTCTTGGGATCAGGCAGGTGCCCAGAGACCACCAAGACTCTGGGATAATGCCCCAAGGTCAGTTCCTGGTGATACTGGCTCCTTTTCAGTTCTCTTAGAACTGTGTTATTTTTCAAAGTTTTAAAAATAAACACATCAGGAGGTGGGGATCAGGAGAGAAATAGCTTGTGTGAACAGAGTGCTCTCTGTCTCTCATAGTTTTTCTTCTTCTGACCTTTTTTCCAGACAGCCCGTCCGCTTGTGCAGGTTCCAGGGGATACAGATAGTGACTGTTGAAGGACTTTTCTCCCGGAGAGAAGACACTGGAGCTGCAGACACTGTTCCAGGCACAGTGGGGCCTGCACCACTCAGGAGCTCTGTCAAAGGCTGTTCTCAGAGAGGATGCCACACTTCTTTCTTTTGATTTTCAGTTTTAAAAAACAAGAACTAACAAAAACAATTGCTGCTAGACTTGAGGGTGATTTTGAAATGGGACAATCTTTTATTAAGTTTATCTACAGAGCAAGTGTCTTGGAGAGTGGCCATTGCTAATTGAAGCCCAACATGCAAATCAGCTTCCTCCAAAAAATACAAAAATGAAAGAATTTTTTTTTAAACACTTGTCTTGTTCTTCTGTAGACTAGGCACATGGTGCCTCATGTCAAGATATCTTTGCTTTAAAACCAAGCAGATGCTACAGTACAGTGTTTTCACCTGTGACCCAAACAATGTTTTAAATTCAGAATCGGCCTGTGTTTAGCACTAGTCTTATGGAGGAAAATGCTAATAACTGCTTTCACTATAACTTTCCCCATCAGTTCACGTTATTAACTCTGTGCCTTGAGCTTTGTGCACTTTTGCAACTGTGTGACCATGTCATCAAACTCAAAATGCTTCCTGGAGAAGTTGATATCCCAAACTGACCCACCAAGGCCTCTGGTGTGGCCTTCTGGCAGGACCTGATTGAGAAAATGGATAGGGGTCAGAATTCACCTTCTGTCCCAGTTCTCATGGGGACCAACTCTTACTGAGTGGTTTCCCTCCTGCCATCTCCCCGTCTGAACTTATCAGCCTCTGTAGTGTGGGTGGAGCTCTGTCTGGTTCAGGGCTGTGCTACTGTAGAGATTGCCCAACCGGGGGAGCTGCTCCCTGAATCCCTCTAGGGAGCGGTGTTAGTAAAGCCAAATATGGTGAGTAGTCTTGGTCCATCTCATTTTAATCGATGCATTTAGTATTTGTAAAAGGTCAACTCTGCCCTGGGTCTTGTAAACATCATGTTTGATATTTGAATACAGTAGGGGAAGAGTTTGCACTGGTTTTTGAAGGCTTCCTTCATTTGGACTTTCTGTCTCACTGCATCAACAGTGCTCTTTAGGTCCTCACAAAAGTCTGAAGCTTACTCCAGGTGTTTTTTCCAGTGGTAAACAACAAATAGACCTGGTGAAGGAAAATATTTTTCTCCTCAGTTTTGCTTGAATGTGAAGTGAGCCTTGGCTTTGTGCTCAGCAGGCTTTTGCCGACAATGATTCTGAGCCTTCAGAGAATGCCTCCTCAGGCTACTGCTGCGAACTCAGTGGGCAGAGAGTTAGAAATGGGATACAGGGGCAAGAACGTTGCCCTATAGCAGTTCAGGATTTGTAAATGATGGTCTAGGGGAGGAATAGTAAGAGCTGACAGCTTGGCTCTTTTGGGTACTTCTCTGCAGTTGGTAGTTTGTGGGGTTTTTAGTTGACTTAGTTTCATTTGGGTTATATTGAAGAACCTAGATTAGGGACAGGCAGGCTCTTACTGTGGCCTGCACAGCCTTTTCTGCTCTAATAGCAAGGGAAATTTTCATTTTATCAAGAAGTCCAAAGTTTGCTTTTCTGTTGGGATGTTTGCCGCACAGTTGTAATATCATTTGGAACTGGTTTCTTCTACATGGCTTTAATATTTTTGACAGTAAACTTGGAACATTTCTTGAAACATAGGTAAGTAGCTCAGTGTCCTAATTTATACTCCTCCCCTGAAAGAGAGTACACTTTTTTTTGTCTAACAGAACCTTCCCTATAAAAGCATTATATTATGTAAACTGGCATTAAAGTGAATGCTTTTGTTATTAAATTAATGGAGAAGTAATCATACTCATTCTGTGTTAGCACAAAATGTGCAGGGAAAACCTGTGAAGTTCTTTGAGTTAGAGTTGGCTACAGCTGTACAGATGCTAAAAGGTGTGGGGGAAAGTGTGATCCTTACAGTCTGTAAAACTTACTCAAGGTGAAATTGGTCTAGCTTATTAATTGAAATCTTGACAGAATTCTTAGTCCTCAACTATGGAGAAATAAAAACCTGCTCTGGAAATTAGTATTTCCAGAAAATGTGTTCTTGCCAGTGCAGTGTGCACTTTTTCTACTCCTGCTGAGGACTACTTAACCTTATCCTCAAAGGCCAAATAATATAGATCGCTTAGCCAGTCATTGTAGTGCAGTTATTTGGCTAAGCTGGCAAGTGTGTGCGTTAGCCTGGAAGTCAGCCCTAAAAGAAAGCCACAAATTGTGCGTTATTTCTAGTTACTGGTTCCCATAACAAGTCGTTTACTCTCTTTGCTAGGATGAAGTTGGTTTGTGTGTAGGTGCAGAGTGCAGAGGAATGGGTGCCCTTGGTCATGACACTGCATATATGTCTCTAGTGCTCAGACCTGTGTAGCTGCTGCCCCCCTTGTTTGCTTTTTGTCAGGTTGCAAATTTGCACACATGAATGATTCCTCAGGAACAATTTGCACACTCCTCACTTCAGTGTACTCTGTATAGACCAAACATCATCAGAGGTTATCGGCACAAGAGGCTTCATACATACTAGCAAAGGCCGTGGTGAGCTTGCAAACAAAACTGGTTTCTGCAGGTCATGGGAAGAGGAGCACACAGTGTTTAAATGACCTCTCGGTTCTCCCTGTAAATAATTTCCAGATTTTCCTGTCTTATTGAGGCTGTGTTTGTTTTGTTTTGTTTTCTCCTGTTTCCTCTCACAGTAGTTAATTAATTATTTCTCTGGTTAATTGCCCTTGAGCTAAGATTCAATTATTAAGCAGCCAACATTAAGTAAGCATTATTCTACAGATGTATATTCATAGAATATACTAATCTGAGATAATAAGAAACAACAAAAAGCCTGCATTAGCTATCCAACTGTTAGAGTGTTTAGAGTTTTGGGGTTTTTTGTTTGTTTGTTTTTATGGTGTATCCCTTGAGCTCGTAGCTTGGAATATTGTATTTGCTTTTATCCAAGTGGTAATCTCTTAAGGGGATTTTAAAATTCAAAGTTGGAATGTGACACTGGTAACTGACACAGCTGAAACCCAGTGTAGAGAACCTTTTCTGTTGTGATCACTGCGTTCAGAAAAACTGTGCAAAATAAAGTTCATTTTTACCAGAAGTTGCAGAGGTTCGTAGAGAAATGGCTCTTGTGCTTTAATTGCCACATCAAAATTTCCCTTGTCTCCTGACTCCCAGAATATTTTGAAGAAACCTGTTCTTTCCCAAAGGAAATGTCTCCTCTCTGGTCCCCCTGCTACTTAACTGTAATCACTGCCTCCTCCCTCCTGCCCTAATTGAGACCTTAACTTGAGCCTCTTTCCAGAGGGGTCCGCCACCTCGCTGCAGGACCTGCTGTTTTACAGAACCATTCTCTGCTGTAAAGAACTTCACTTTAGGCTTGATTCATTTTCAGAAGAGTGCTGATGGATTGCACCTCTGGGAAAGTCGTCAGCATGGGGTTAAGAATTGAGTGTTTTGGAAAAAAATAGTTGTGTTGGTTCTTATATGTCATTTAACTATTGGGACTATACTAAGTGCAGTAAGACTGAATGTTCTCCCAGGGTGTGTTTGGGTGAATGGTTGATGGCACCCTTGGCTCTTCTTTGTCTTTGTCAGTGTTACAGCCGTGCGATTGGGGAGAAATTATTTAATGTCACTTAAAAATGAGAAACTGTGGCTCAAACAAACGCTCATACAAAGTATGGAAATGCCATGCAGGCACCAAGCTTTTGCCGCCCACCAGCATAGCAGAGCGAATGAGGCGTTGCTGTCCAGTTTCCCATCCGTTTGTCTGGTACTGTCTGTCACCTCTCCTCACTTCCTGAGCTAGGGCACAACGCCACTGGCCTGGGCTCTCTCCTTCTAAACATTTGGTGGATTTTGAATCACTCCTCTGTATTGGGTGTATATTCTCACTCTAAAACATTGTGGTTAACGAAAAATAAATCTTGTACAAATGTCCTTAAACTTGTCTTGTTATAAGTTTTGTGCAAATGTCCTGGCTCTGATAACCTGGTTCACTGTTGTAACATGCATGTTGAGTTCCACTTACAGGGAGGGTACTCTGTAACATGGTAGCCACAACTCAGACACAGTCAGCCTTAACCTCTAGATCAGTGACTACAAAATTGTTTGTTTACATGTGCTTTACGCATTGTAGTGTGTGCACAGACATGTACTGTGGGTGTATATAGTGTGTATGTGAACATGTACTGTAGGTGTAGCTTATAGTTTGTATGAGTGTACTGTAGATATAGTGTGTATGCATGCTGTAGGTGATACAGTATATGTGCACACCTGTCCTCTGGGTATAGATAGTAAGTATGAATGAATGTACTGTGGGTGTAGTATATATGTATGAATATACTGTAGGTGTAGTATGTACACATGTGATTTAGACATGTGTTATGTTTGTATACATTGCTATAAGCATATATAATGGGAATGATTTTCTTTATGGAGAAGCCCAGAAGCTTATAGGCATTTGATAATAAGAACATTTTGACTGTTGTAAACATGTCATTTCCTTTTGGATTAATATATGAATTTATACAAAGCCATTCCAAAAAACAAAACCCTTGTTTTTAATATGATGTAAATCTTCATATGGAAGTGTAACAGATGAAATTAGGAAAATATCGTTTGAAAGAAGAAAGAAATAGAAGGAACTTGCTGTGCCAAAAAAAAAATACATCACATTATTCAAAAGTTCAATTAAATTTAAAGCAGTTATAGTAGTGTAAGCATAGACGGGGCAATGGTAAATGGGTAAAAATAGGAATGAAGGCATGTGTTAACACTGGCTTTTAAAATTATTCTGGCCATAAGGAATTATTCATTGAAAACTGCTGGAGAAAATTAAATTGATTGCTGTCATACCATTCATCAAAGAAAGCCCAGATGAGCTTAAAATTAAATTTAAAAGCACAGCACAAAAAAGACAATATGACTCCCCACCCCTAGGAATGGAGAAGTTTCTTTTACAGACATAATCATGAGATACAAATGCTGTAGACATGCTGTCATCGGCCTCCGTGCTCCATGGAGTGTTCAGGGTGTGCACTTACAGATCCATGAGTTTGTGTACCGTGTGCATATAGTGCATGCAAAGATCAGAAGAGGACCTCTAACCTGGAGCTAGAGCAGCAGCTCTCAACCTATGGCTTCCAACCCTTTCACAGGGGTTGCATAGCAGATCATTGTGATTCATAACTAGCAAAATCGCAGTTATGAAGTGGCAACAAAAATGGTTGGGGTCACCACAACTTGAACTGTATTATAGGTTTGAAGCATTAGGGAATGAGAACCATGAAACTACAGTTACAGTTATGAGGTGTGTGTGTGTGTGTGTGTGTGCTGGAAACCAAACCCGGGTCCTCTGCAAAAGGAGTATACACTCAACATTGAGCCATCTGTCCACCCCCAAATTGTTTACTCATATGCTAGCACACAGAAGACTAAAGAAAAAGAAAAAAGTGAGGTAACGTATTTGAAACTATTGTGGGTGGCATTGGTATCTTTTAAAGCTATTTATAAAAATAGTGGTTTTTATTTTTTTTGTTTTTTGAGAGGGGTTTCTCTGTGTGGCCCCTGGCTGTTCTGGAACTCACTCTGTAGACCAGGTTGACCTTGAATTCAGAGATCCACCTACCTCTGCCCCTTTAGTGCTGGGATTGAAGGAATTGCCTACCCCCCAAATAAATGGCTCTTAAGGAACTTGAGCCATGCAATTCAAAAATGGTTTGGAGCTGAGGAGATCACCCGGTAGTGTGCTATACTGTGTGACAGCTGAAGTCTGACTCCTGAGGACCTGTGAAAGCCGTGTGTGGTAGCATTCCTACAGCAAGATGGGAAGTAGAGACTGGAGAATCCCTGGAAACTTGACAGCTAGTTAACTTGGCATTGCAGTGTTAATCAGAGACCATGCCTCAAAAATACAAGATGAAAGGCAAGGAGCCACACTTGGGGTCCTCCCCTGATGACTTTGAACCGTTGCATATGTGCACAGGATACATTTGGACACGAACTATTTTTTAAACTTCATCTTAGGGTTACTGTTGCTATTTTGAAACACCATGATCAAAAGCAAGTTGGTGTTGTGTAGCAGTTTCCTCCAAAATTAAAACATTCCACTCTACAGGGAAGCCCCTTAAACAAAAAGGCAAAAACTCAGAGTAGCTTCAGGAAGTCCCTAAAACTGACCAGATTCTCTAGGTCACCCTTTGCCAGAGTAAGTAAAAGCTGAGAGTCCCCCTCAGAGGAGAAAGCTAAGCTGTAGAGAAGACTCAAGACAAGCTGAGCTGTTTAAAAAAAAAAAAAAAGGCGGGGGTGGGGGGGTGGGGAGACATACAACGAAGATTCTGACCAGACAAGCTGCCTGGAAGAAGTAGAAGGCAGCTTGGCTGTCTAGAAGACTGTCTAGACCAGAGTCACTTTGGAAAGGACTCCCTCCAGCCTGTTGAGCTGCCTGCAGGCTGTGCAGTGTGCTCCAGGTTTCCCAGCTCTTGTGAACTGTCATCCATGTTGGAGTGGGCCTTGGTGATGCAGCTGTCTGTGAGTCATTCTGCTTCTGTAAGTAACTCCAATAAAACTCACTGGTTCACCAAGCTGGACTTGAGTGGTACCTGTACTTTGGTCTTGAAGGGACACTAGCCCACTTGAGCACATGGCTCTGGCAGACCTTACTCCTCTCTCCCATACCCTTTGCCAGAAGCCACTAGATTACATTCCTAAAGCTAGCCACCAAATTCTAATCCCTTATTTGGCCACTTCTTCCTGAGACTTATTACCAAGGTCCAGCTATCAAAGTATTGAAGTCTGACAGTTGGGGATCCTGCATGGGACCAAACTAAGCCCTCTGAATGTGGGTGACAGACGTGGCTTGATCTGTTTTGGAAAGGGGGGTGCTTGACAGTGGGACTAGGGCTTAGGTTCATAAACTGGCTTTTTGGAATCCATTCTTTGTGGTAGGATACTGTGGGCGGGTTCTGGATTTGTTCTCTTGGTGATAAATGACCCCTCTTTCCCAGAGATCTCTGTCCTTTTCCTCTCAAGAGACATGAGAATACTCTTGACTTTGGTTCACCAGCTTCCACTGGTGATGAAAATGCTACCCTCCAATTGAAAACCATAAATGGTGCACTTTAGCACCCAATTATAACTGGCACTGAATGTGTCTGCTTTCTCTCTCTGCACCAAACCATCAGCGTGATTCTTTCACTCTGTAACCCTTTGCACAGTTTCATGTTCTATTTCACCCCTCCACATAATGCAAGAATACTGAATGCCAGGCACTCTACTCTGCAGCCACACATCCCCCTTACTGCCCATGCTGCCTGCACCTTCAGCCTCCACAAGAACGGGGCAGGCCACACCCATCAGGCCCAAGATGCTGCAGTGGCTGTTACAGTCCCCACTGCCCTCAGCTACCTGAGTTCCACTTTCCTTTTACTCTGCCTGAACTCCAGTAACAGGCCCTGTCCTCCTCCCTACCCATCTGTCACCTGGGCACACTCACTCTGGGGTTAGCACTGTGTGTGTTAGCACTGTCAACTCTGCATGGCCCAATCCAGCCTGGCCTGAGGGGGGTGGGGGAGAGTCAATACTCAGTGGCGCACACCAGCCTTTCTAACACTCTTTAACCAGCCATACCCTTCCCTCTAGGGAACTGCCTCCAGGTCTGGGCCACAGAAACCACCTTAAGCCTTCTGGGCCTCTGAATTTCCTCCCATGTCTTGGCTTCCTCCTGGAAGTTATACAGCTTTCTTAGGCCCATATAGGGCTACTGATACCCCCTCCACCTGCACTGAAGTCCCAGGACTCTGTAACAGCTACTTGCAGTGCTGAAGGAGTGGACACTGCTGGATTCCTGCTGTGGAGATCCTGGCATTGTCTGGTACTGGCACTCCTGAAAGGTGCAGTTTTGCTTTGTCTTTAGACCCCATGCCTTTCCTATTTCACTCATCTTGAGAGGTGAGTTTGTTTTCGCTATTTGTAGGCTATGTACCCTGAGACTCCTCGAAAAGTTTCTGGGGGCTTCTGCTTTCCATATAACGCATTCCCCCCTAAGTGGGGTCTTTGTTGCGCATTTCAGGGCAGTTGTGGAAAGGGTGAGCAGGTGAGTAGTTGCATCTGAAGAGAGTTACTTGCTAGTCTGCATCTGTTTGTAAACAAAGGGGACACTTTCTAGGTTGCTCCCTGTCTCGGTCCTCTTGGTGTTGTAACAACAAAATTCCTGAGGTTGAGTACATCAGGAAGAACAGATTTAGTTAGCTTAAAAGTTATAGAGACAGGCTTCCAGTGAGAGAGCCTGGGGCATTGGTTCATGGTAGAGAAATGGAAGTGGAAATGGTTGTGGGCAAAAGATCACCATCTGGGTGGTCTCATTTATAGGAAACTCTTTCCCATGAATGAGATACATCAATTAACAGAAGTAATCTCTCTTAATGACCTCATAGTTCCTTATAAAGGCCCCTCCTTCCTTTTCTGATGCACTAAGGAATAGAGCTTCTGTATGAGTTGGTGAGGACAGAATGCAGTGCCCACACATCGAGTCCCTCAGAGCCCCTGCCAGTTCTGGATGACTGACCGCCGATAAATGCTGTGGACATGTCTGGAAGCCTTAGTCCACACTGTTCAATGAACTGCCAAACACCTCTAGCTGCATGCCGCTTCTGGCTGACCGTCTGTAAATTGCTTTTGCCCTGCTTCCTGACAAGGTGAAAAACGCATTTCTCAACTCCAGGCAGCAGCAGGGGGATACTGCCACCACAGCAGGTGCTCACAGGGCTGGCCTGCAGCCTTGGAGAGGGTCCACAGGGCAGAGTGTCCCCGACTTTCAGAAGACTGGCCATCTTCTGCAGGATGGGAGCCAGCCAAGGGGGTAGAGAAGGGGCAGGTGACTGGCCTCAACTGTACAGCAGGCTTTAGTGACAGCCAGAGACAGCCTACTCACTGCCAGT